CAGTGATGTTCAAGCTGATGATACATAGAAACAATATCACTTTCCATCAATAACAGCAAAAGCATATGTATATTCATCCATTCACAACTCACAAGGAAGATAATAAGATGATACCTCTGCCAAAGAGGGAGAGTGAGCGTGGTGTATGCAAGTTTGATCTTACGGACAAGCCCTCCCAGTGATTTAAAGCTTGCAGCAGCCTGCCTAACCGCCTTCGATACAGTTGGGTGCTGCCAGGCCCATTCAAACTGCAAAGTTCCAAAGGGAACATTAGAAAGAAGGTCCCAAATTTCCAATTAATATCAATCCTAAAATAATAATAAAAAACCTTCAATCCCAATTAGTCAAATGGTGCTTACTCAAGACGGGTCCCAATCAAGCTGGAAATATCCTCAAATGACACATAATTATCAGAATATAATTCTCAAGAAATTTGTCCCAATCAATCAAATTAAAGCACAAACAGATCATACAGAGCAATCCATAGACAAGTTAATTGTAAAGAGAACAAAAGAAAGAAATGAAGAGACCTGGAGAGCAGAAACGTTAGTTGGGAAACCATAGATGCACAACACCATCTCCCATGGACGCTTCCGCTTCGTTCTCCAAGCACCTTGCGCTATTTCACCATTGTGCTGTCTTAAACGACGCCGTGGGTTCACTGTGAATCTGTATCAGAATCACCCAAATAAGCACAAACAAAGGCACGGAGTTCAAGTGGGCTCTCTTATTACTCCAAGCTCTACAAGAAAGTTTCAAACTTTAAAGAAGTTCAGATCGAAAATGTTCAAATCAAGATTGATCTTATTATTCTCAACAGATGGGGAATTTGAAAAAAGTAAAAAAAGAATTAGGGGAAGATGGAAGGTACCCAATATAGGTGTGGCATTTGTAGCGGGGGCTGCGAGAGCTCAACAGATAGCATGCGACGAATCGTCCTTCTTCTACTTCTTCCTCCTCCGCTATTAGGGCTTCTGGGATTTCTGCTTCTTGCATCTCTCTTTTCAGGCGTATCTTATTAAAATGCTGTCAATCCAACTCGACCGTTGGATATATTAACCCGTATTTCAAACTGTTTGATTTCTACGCCTCATATTCCGTTTTCTACGGTCAGGATCTTGCGGTGGTACTTAGGGAGTGACCAAGTTTTTGCCACGTGGACGGTTGTTTCTTGATCAACATAAAAAAATGTTGCCACGTAAATAATCTTCGAACTGTGGGTTCGGTTCTGTTTATACTCAATGTGGCTTGGGTTCGGTCTCAGAGCCTTCTGATAGCAAACAGGTTAGTGTGTTTGTTTCTCATTCTCATTGTGCTAATATAATTGAGTCCAAACTGTATTGTTAGAAATTGGTGTAAAATTATTTGTATGTTGAGGAAATTAATTGCGGCCATCTATAACATCATAAATCATAATGGATTAAATTTTTTTTAGATTAGAACAAATCTCCATTGAAGATGCACAGCATCACATGCTATCATGAGCAGGGATGATACTGAATGCTTTTGAACCTTTGAACCGTAACGTAAGAGAAGGGGGGTTGTGTTGAGGATGTGGATGGAAAAAGTTACCAATGTTTAGTCGGGAATCGTGGTAAAAGGCTTTATATGTTGAGTCCGAATTCTTAGGCTATTGTATGAATTATGTTGCCTCTACAATGACGAGGATAATGGGGGTGACGATGTCCACACAGAGCAGTTTGGTAATCAGAGTTCAAAACTTGTTTCCTGGAAATAGGGTATAATATTCGTTTGGTTCGATTTTGTAACAAGAGCATGCAAATTTCATTCTGGTTCCCTTTTGTGTATGTACATTTTGTGAGACTGCAATGACAATAATCGAAGATTACATATGTGTAGGAAAATGGAAAATAAATTTTCTTGAATTTCTTTTAAAGAAATAGTATGGCCGCGCAGCTATACTCGGTTTCAAAAGAAATAGTATAGGCATGCGGCTATACTCGCATTGAATATATGCATACATATTTTTTTTATAAATTTTTAAATAATGCACAAAAACTTCACAAATTATACAAAAAAATTTCACATATGATTGAATACAAATGATATATACGAGGAAAAAAAATTAAGTATATTATATTACAATTTTATATAGTGGCCGAACTTTTAACTTGTAATTTGCCGAATAAAACATGTACATTTTTTTGTCTTATAGCCGCGCGGCTATGCCAAATTTATGAACATCAATATGAAGAAAGTGGATCTGAAAAAGATTTTGGCTTTTTCAATTGGTTTGTGGGGCAGTAGGTTGGTGGCGCAGCTTCTTTGGTAGGCTGGAATGTGGAGTGGCGGTTGTGGTTATGGAGGGTTGGAGAGAGAGATAAGCAAGGATGGATCTGAAAAAGATCTTGTCTTCTGCTCCCTTTGTAGCAGTTGGGTGTCTTCCCTTTTCAATTTTTCATTTTCTTCTTTTCTGAAGAAATGGAATGGGGAGGGGGAAGGTGGTTGCTGGGTTTTTAAGTTTTTTTTATTTTTGGGGAGTTGTAGAAGGGATGTTGGGAAGGATATAAGGGTGGTGATGCTGGGGAGAAGGACTTGGTGTTCAGAGTGAAGAGGACGAAAAGTACACCAGAGCCGAGTTGGAGGTTTTTCTTGTTCGTGAGAATTCAGCAGATTCAACCTGTGATTTCAAGGTGAAAGGCTTCCCTTACCAAGTATCTTGCACCATCTACATAGGCAATGACATAGTTGCTCAGGTATGATTTTTTTTTTTTTTTTTTT